AAGACAGTTTTAGAGAACCAAATTTTACTGCGCACCTCTTGATCTCGGAGTTTTAATAAAAGTGGTCGAGGACGGTTAGAACGATGGCAGCGGCTGATGTCATTTTTGGTGAACCCACTGATCTTCATACGATCTGTAACTGTTTTCACAAGAACAGCTACTGTGTCCTCATTAGACTCCTCCGGTAGACCATGCAAAAGCAACATCTTTCTTCTGCTGTGCATTTCCATGTTGTCAGTTTGCTGTGCCAGCAGATTGATCTGTTCCTGGAGACTTTGAAGCGCTGTCATAATATAGCTTTTAAATGTGGAGAATTCACTGTTGAGGTTAGAGATGGTGGTAGAAGGTGCTGAGGCTTGAAGGTCACTTTGATATCTATCCATTCTATCCGTGAATATCTTTTGAAGCTGGTTCATTGAATTTTGGATAGCGTCCATTTTGCAGCAAGTAAAGTAGTGGGATGTACACGAAGAGTAATGTTAATATAATGTGGATTTAAGTAAGGATAACACTCGTCAGCAGGTAAGGTGAATAGTACTTTAGTATCTCATAAGAAATAAGCTTCTTAGTAGAGAGAATAAATATTAATTTAAATAATAAAACTGATAGATTTTTATGACGACTTTTTCTTTTACACCTACCCGCCGAAAAAAAAGCAATTGTCAGGTGTATTGTCAGAGGAAATCTTTATGCAAAAACCAGTTGGTTTACAATGCAATAAAGATAATGTTGTACTTAAGCTTAAACGAGCTATTTATTGTTTGAAACAATCCTCAAGCATATGGTATCAGAGAGTTGAAGAATTGTTAAAAAGTATTGGTTATGAAAAATCTCAACTAGAGCCATGTCTTTTCACTAAAAATGATGGAAATTTAAGAACTATTGTTTTATTATATGTGGACGATTTCTTCTTATTTTCTAATTGTATTGAAGAAACTAATAGATTAAAAAGTAAATTATCAGAAAATTTTAAAATTAAAGATCTTGGATGTATAAAAAGATGTCTTGGTATGAATGTCAATTTTGATAAGATAAATGGTGTTATAAGTATTGACCAAAAAGATTATATAAATGAGTTAGCAATAAAATTTTATCTATATGACTGCAAAACGATAAAAACACCTATAGAACAAAAATTAAATTTAACTAAAAGTTTTGTTTGTAATAAGAAGTTGCTTTATCAACAGTTAATAGGTAGCATGATGTCTCACTAGGCCAGACATTGTATTTTCTGTAAATTATTTAAGTCAATTCAATAACTGTTATACAGATGAACATTGGACATACGCAAAAAGAGTACTAAAGTATTTAATAACTACTAAAGATTTTTGTTTGAAGTTTACACAAAATGGTAATAAACTATTTGAGGCCTATGTTGATGCTGATTGGGCTAGTAATCAGATTGATAGAAGGTCTTACACTGGGTATTTCTTTCAACTGTCTGATTGTGGAATAGCTTGGGAAACCAGAAAACAATGTACAGTCGCCTTATCGAGAACAGAGGCTGAGTACATGGGGTTGGCTGATTGCTGTAAAGAAGCAATTTATCTTAAAAACTTAATATTTGAAATTACTAAAGAAGAATATCCAATAACAATATATAATGACAATCAATCAGCAATTAAGCTATTAGCCAATGCATGGACTCACCATAAAAGGTCCAAGCATATAGATGTATGTTATCAGTTTTGGCGAGAGTGTATATGATGATGAGAGGTTTGATTGAGGTTAAATTTAAACCAACTACTGAGATGCCTGCGGACATTCTCACAAAAGGCCTAAGTAAAAATAAGCATTATGAATTTATGTTATTTGGTCTTGTAGAATGTTAATTAAAATAAAACAAAATAATATTTTTATTTCTTTTGTTTCTCAGACATTGTTAAGTGGGAGTGTAGAAATAGAATTAACAATGTCTTAGCCTGTTATAAAAAAAAAAAAAAAAACATGTCACGCAAGCGCCACTTCGCTGTATTGTACTTTTTATAACAAATAAAAACTTTCTTATTTGCCACGCATTCGGTTGTTTCACTATAATTTTGGTCAATGAAATTCACTGATTTTAACTGTAATTGAAACTTTGCAATAAAATCGCGGCCTAATAGTGGCGGCCCACCGTTAAGGACGCGCGAGCGCCCGCCCCACTGCAAGGTCATTTGGACACTACCGATGCAATCCAATACTTCACCCGTATAACTCATAAGTTTGTTATTAGTCGTCACTAATGGTAGATTATGGAAATGTAGCTTGAATATATTTTCAGACATCACCGTGACCGCCGACCCGCTAACAATTTCAAATTTATTTTTTTTACCATTAATACACACCGTCTCAACTAAAGGCTCTCCTCTCATTGACCGAATATTAAATAACTCACCGTCGTCGTCATCGCCCTCGTAACTCTCGCTAGTAACACTCGCAACATAATTCACCTTTTTACACATTCGAGCTAGGCGGCCTTTCGTATTGCACTTCTTACACGCGTAGTTGGCGAAACTACACGATTCACTTTTGTGATTATTATAACCACATATCGCACATTTCACTTTATCACTATTACGGCGACTACTAGCGTTGCGATGTTGGTTGATTTTAAACAAGTGATCTTTCTGGGGCGGCTGGACTGACGGCCCGGTGGCCGCGCTGGCGGCGGCAGCACGCGCGCTTCGCAGTCTTTCGGCCAGCTCCACGGCCTTGGCTAACGTTAGACCCGCTAAATCCTGAACATACATTTTCTCTTTCTCGGCTCCCGGCACCATACCCATGATGAATCTGTCTTGTAATGCTTCTTCAAGATTAATGAAATTACAATGCGAAGTCAGGCCACGCAACCTAGCGGCGCCACGAGGTACCAGATCCGGGGGACCTGGGGGACCAGCGATAGTGTGGGTAGAAGGGGGACACCGAGACAAATAAATAGAACTGAAGCTCGAAACAGGAGAATCAGGTTTGAGGATTCTACACGATTTTGAAGATTTCAAACTTTAAAATTCATAGTGTCTGGGGATTGTGGAGAACAGCTCATTTTTATGAGCGGCCCTCGAAGGCAGTCCCCAGCACTACACAGAAAAAAATCGACATCAACTGGGCTCTTCTACATTAGCGGGAATCGACGGGACAAAATTGGGCCCACTTTTCCCCTGACTCCAGGAGACACAACTTTGAAGCTGGAAGCCTGAAATTGAAATATAAGTGAGAATAGTAATAGACCTAGGTATATTATAAATTTCATGATTCTTCTGTAAATAGTTTTTAAGTAATCAAAATTTTTACCCCCTTTTTGCCCCTTATATAAATACCAATAAAAATAGCTGTAAAACAACACCGGAGAAGGTCATATAACCCACCTGACAATAATAAAAAGCCCAAACCGTACATAATACGGTTTTTTCAAAAAAGGGACCATACTGAACACAATGGGCCGAAACTTTGACCCGAAATAACTATAAGGTCATTACGAATTTTAAAAAACGGTTTTCAGATTAGAAACAAGCGAGTTTTCCTCTTGCTCCCTCCAGGACACAAAATTAAAAAATTCCAAATTTGACATTTTGAAAAAATTTCGGCCCCAAAATTTTTGAAACCTAAATTTGGAACGGGATTCCTATAAATCTCCTCCCCCCTAACCTAACGTCGAAACTCCCGTGTTTCTGCGACGCGAGTTGACCGAGATATACATTTCCAAAAATTGGTCGGCCATTTTGGTTCGGTCATTTTGAAAGTTTTGGAATCCCTGTATCTCGGTCAATAACGGGCCTAGGAGGCCGGGACTTTGGATCAAGTCCCTCCCCCAATCCCTTCTACACATCCCATAGGGTGAAATTCGAATTGGACGGGTTGAACTCAACCCCCCAATTTCGAGATTGCATCGGCAAGATCTCACCCTCCTGCCACCTCCTCTCCAAGCCCTGTCTTTGTGCGCCGAACAGGACCGGAGATATAGCCCTCCAAAGACGGTGGGATAAGCTTATCCCAAAACTTTGAGGGGCTGTAACCTCCGTACCATTCGTCGTAGGGGAACGGGGTTTTCCCTACCCCCTGCCAAGCTCTACCTGACCCACAGGATTAACCAACTCTAGCTCAAGGTCCCGGGGCAATTCCAACGGACCCCGGAAATAGGTGCGGCAGGGTCTCCTTTATCCATCCCGAAAAAGTCCCTGTTCCACGCGACCAATAGTTTCGGAGATATCGGCACTCGTCCCATTCGGGCCGAGTTTTTTGCCGATTTTGACCAGGTAATATCTCCGAAACTACCCAACGTAGAGGGTAGTGAGAAGCATCAAACAACAGGGCTCGAAAAGCCCAAACAGACGGCGCGGGACGTGACACTATAGACCCGGAGTTTCCTGAGAAAATTCCGGAAAACTCGGGAAAACCCCCTTTGCGGCTTCTCGCGGAAAAAATCCGAAAAAATTAGGCTGTATAAAGAACAACAATAAAAGACGAGTATAAAAATATTTGAAAGGAAAACATTGATATTTACGGAAAAAACCGGAGTTTAATAAAATATTAATATTTTTCGGAAAAATAAGATAAATTGACGCAAAGTTTTGACTTTTATTGACCCTATAATATAGTCGTACTATATTAATACACCCCATATTTGCTGGGATATCATATATTTTATTGTAAATACGTTGTTTTATTTTAATGTAAGCTTTAAGTTGACTGTGAAACCCTTTTGGGATACGTCGTAGATTAGGACACAAGAGTTAAGACGCATAGAGCCAGGCTCTGCATTGACAATATACATACACGCACATGCACACACACACACATACACACAAATACGAACACACACACACAAATATATAAATAATAAAAAACAATACTTACCAACACGCCGTAAAAGAGACTTGCAGTTGATCTGCTAAACAGGACAACGGCATCTGTAATAAAAAACACACATTAGACACACATAAACACTACATAAAACTATTAACACAGACAATCAAAATTTGTCCCCCGACTCCAGAAGTAAAAGTACATTTGAAATAGCTATGTACAGAACAAACAAGACATCGCAAACGGGAAACGTAAGGAAGTCGACCACCACAAGTCCAAATTTGACAGAGAGTCGCAAAGAAAGAATAAGGCGATCAGAAGAGAGGACAATGGAAGAATTAATCCTTCTATTGACAGAAATACTTAATAGTATACCTAAACAAATATACAGCGCTATGAAGAGAGAGGTTAAGGAAAGTCTGGAGAAGACAACAAGTGCAGGCCTTAACACTCTGAACGAGCTACGTACGAAAATCATAAATAGAGAAGAGGACCTTAAGAAGGAGATAGAGAGAGAAAAAGAAAATAAAACAATAAAGGATCAAATAGAAGAAATGAAGAAGATGATGAAGGAAGACATGGAAAAGATAACAAAGGAGATAAACTATCAACAAGAAACAACACTGAAACATAGAGAAGAGAAGAGAAGAAGAAGGGAAGATGACGAATCAGTCACTACAAAATTCCTAAGGATGATTGACTACAAGCTCGAAAATATTAAGAATAGGGAAGAAGCATTATTTGATAGGCTGGCAGACAGGTCTCTGAAGGACAGCGAATTTGTTATCGCAACGGTTATAAAGAAACTGGACGCAGTTGAAGAAAACCTGACAGCGGAAAAAATTAAGCTGGACCGGAGGATAGGAGAAAGGCTGGGAGGAGAAACGGAAACAATAGAAGGAGAAACAAACATGAGAACAAATAGTGAAATAGAACGACAAATAAAGGAAACAGGAAAGGAAATCACTGCAGAAATCACAAAAACCATAGATACAGTCATGACCGAATGCATGCAAGACCTCCATAATGCGATTACGTATAGCGGAACTTCACCTGAGGAAAACTCCGTAGTTATAAAGCGAATAGACACCCTTGAAACAAATATAAAAGACGAAATACAGGATACAAAAGAAGAAATCGCAAAAAAGATAGATGAAAACAAAACAACCATTACAAAGCACATAGAAACAACAATAACAAAGGAAGTCTTAACACACCAACCATACACACCTACTCACACACTCACAAGAACGTACGCAGGAGTTGCAAAAGGCAAAAACCACCAAATGCCAAAGACGCTACATTCGGTCCTTATAACATCAAAAAATAAAATGGACACTGCAGAGAAAGTTATAGGTAAAGCAAAGGAAATATTAAAACCAGAGAAAAATAGAATACAGATAGAACGAATACGAAAAGTCAAGGATCAAAGGGTAATAATTAGCTGCATAAACGAAGAAGAAACAGAACAAATAAAAGAACGAATAAAGAACAGCGAAGAGTTAGAAGTAGAAAGAGTAAAAAATAAAAATCCATTAGTAATTATAAAAGAAGTAAAGTTTAAAATGACGGACAATGAAATTATAAATGCTATAAAAAATCAAAACCCGGACATCTGCATAGAAGAAGGACGGGAAAGAGAGGAAATTAAAATAAAATACAGACGAAGGACCATAAATACCGAAAAATGCCACATAATTGTACAGGTAACACCTGAAATATGGAAGAAAATGGACACTAAAGGGCATCTGTACATAGAAATGGAAAGGGTGAAGGTAGAAGATCAATCTCCCCTTATCCAATGTACCAGATGCCTGAACTTTGGACATGGAAAGAAATTTTGTTCAGATAGTGTGGACAGATGCAGTCACTGCGGGGGATTACACCTGCGGGCAGAATGCCCAGACAGAAAAGCAGGAGTCCCCCCGCAGTGCTGCAACTGCACACATAATAAAGCTCACTCTGGTCGCGGTTTGATGTCTTCGGACCTGGGCGTTAACTCCGGCGAGCCGTGTAAAATTTACGTCACCGAACATTTGTCCCCAGAACAAAAGTCATTACATGCTGAAACTAGAAGAGTGGCTAAGGAATTGAAGTATAAGTATGTATGGGTTAAGTTTGGTCAGATCTATGTACGCAGGAATGACTCTAGTAGTGCGGTGCTTATAAAGAATGAAGACTCTTTAAAGAAGTTGAGTTGAATAGTTGTGTTTGGTAGTACTTAGGTTTAAGAATAAGGTATTTGGTCCGTGATTTGTGGACTTAATAAGCCGATAATGTTTAGTTTATTTTATCAGAACCTAGGTAGAGCTAGATCTAAATTGAAAGATATATTTTTGAATGTTATAATTAGCAATTATGTCTTAATATGTCTGACTGAGACAAATTTCGATGGTGGTGTTTTTGATTGTGAGGCTATAGATGCGCGATATTGTGTTCACAGACGAGACCGCGAAAGCGGTTGCTCAAAGAAAACTAGCGGTGGTGGAATTTTATTAGCTGTAAAAAGTGATATAAATGCAATTAGACGCACAGCTTGGGAGAGTAGGGTTGAGGATATTTGGATTACTGTACTTCCATTACAATTTGGTGGACCTTCATTACATATATGCTTATGTTATTTGCCACCTGATCTACCTGTTGATGACATTGCTGCTTTTTATTATAATTGCCAAAGAGTGATACTTGGGTTACCACTTAAAGATAACTTTATAGTACTGGGAGATTTTAACACGACAAATATTACCTGGGAGATACCGGTAAATTCCAAAATAATGTTACCGACTCATCCACGAGATCGTAAAGCTGTTTTGCTCTCCGAAACAATAAATACCTGTAACCTTACTCAATATAACACCATCCCTAATAATAACGGCAGTTTCTTGGATCTTGTTATGTCAAATTTGTCTGATTCGGCCATTGTAGTTGATGTAGCTACACCTGTGTGCCGAGTAGACTCTCACCATATTGCGTATTGCATAGACATTGACTACAGTAACATCGACAAGTCTTTGAAGTCTAACTACAATAGGCGCTACAACTTTAATAAATGCAAGTATGACCAGATTAGATCGGAGTTATCCGATGTTTGCTGGGACAGTCTGTTGAGCTTGGACAATATTGATGACTGCGTTGACGCTTTTTATTCTGTAATGGAACACATCATTTCGAAAAACACACCATTGGTTAAAAATGCGTCACGCAAATATCCCGTTTGGTTCAATCAAGCACTTATTCGTTGTATTATTGAAAAGAGAAAGTTCCACAAACGTTATAAAAAGTTTGCTAATCCCAGAGATTATGATGCATTTTCTCTTCTTCGGACTAGATGTAAGATGCTTGTAGCTGATTGTTATAAAACTTTCTTGTCCTCAGTTGAAGACTCGCTAAAGGATAATCCAAAGATGTTTTGGCGCTACGTAAATGATAGAAGAGGTGGGGTAGCCATTCCACATACTATGACATTTAATAACCAAACTTCTTCTGATGGTCTAGGTGTTTGTGAGCTCTTTTCAGACTACTTTGACTCAGTTTATGATGAGCCTTCATCTCAACCTTGTGGCCCCTTAGATCTACCTCTTAACCTCAATGATACATTACATACTTTCGAGATCGTTTCGACTGATATATCGAAAAAGATTAAACAGTTGAACGATTCAAAGAGTGCAGGTCCTGATGGTATACCCCCAAGATTTTTTAAGGAATGCTCCAAAGAACTTTCATGTCCTCTTTCAATTCTATTTAATAAGTCTATCAAAACTGGTACATTTCCTGCGCGTTGGAAACTAGCTCACATTATACCAATATTTAAGTCGGGTATCAGATCAAGTTGTAACAATTACCGGCCTATAAGTATACTCTCGACCTTGGCGAAACTGTTTGAATCCTTGATATATGATTATCTATATAATCACATTAGTCGTTACATATCACCTAATCAACACGGTTTTGTGAGAAATAGATCAACTCTTAGTAATTTATTGGTATTCAAAAATTACCTTTGTCAAGTTTTTGCTTCAGGAGGCCAAGTGGATGCTGTCTATTTGGATTTCAGCAAGGCTTTCGATAAGGTTGATCATACCCTCCTATATCGTAAGCTTTCACATTACGGTATTCATGGCAACCTATTGAGATGGATAATATCATATTTAAGTAATCGGAGTCAACTTGTTACGGTGAGAGGTTATGCATCGACTCCTATTCTTGTCACCTCTGGGGTCCCTCAGGGCTCTCATCTGGGACCATTATTATTTATAGTTTTTATAAACGATTTGATCGACCGTTTATCCTGTCCTGCTCTTTTATATGCAGATGACTTAAAAATTTTTACTGACGTACATGATGACACTCGATGTAGGATGCTTCAAAACGATCTTAACATAATTTCTGATTGGTGTTTATCAAATCATATGAGACTTAATCTTGACAAATGTTGTCTTATATCGTTTAGTCGTAAAAGAGTCAGGATTAATTGGTCATATCATATACAAAACACGCTATTGAATAGAATGCACACAGTGAAGGATCTAGGTGTTTTGTTTGATGAAGAGTTATCTTTTAGGCCACATTATGAACACATTGTGAAGAAAAGTAACAAACTTCTGGGCTTCATAATACGGTCTACTAGGGATTTTAAGAGTCCAAAAAGCACATTAACATTATATTCCAGCTTAATTAGAAGTACATTAGAATACTGTTGCCCCATCTGGTCACCTTATTATGTGTTGCATATAAATAATATAGAAAGGGTTCAGAGGAGATGCTTGAAGTTTCTCACCCGTAAACTGAATCCTGGTCGATCAATTGATAAATACAGTGACAGGTTAGCTAGGTTTGGTCTGCTCTCTTTGCAATCACGGCGCGAAAGGTATGATCTTTTGATACTCCACAAAGTACTTCACTCTGCTATCGATGCACCGAGTCTGCTCTCGTCGCTTAGCATCAATATAAGACATAGATCTCGTCGTCCTAATACTTTTGCAATACAAATTTTTAAAAATAACACTTCATTTTATAACCCAGTGGTGAGAATGTGCCGGACTTACAATGAATATACTCGCAATAATACCGATCTAGACATATTTAACCCAAGTTTCTCTCAATATAAAAAAAATGTATCCAATATTATTATAGATGCAAAATTTTCCTAACTTCAGTCACAGCAGCATTATCATATTATTATCATTATTATTTTTATATCGTTTTTTTTATTTGTTGTGATTGTTTTTCTTATTTTTTTATTTTTTGTGATATCAACACTGTAATCATGTCGTGTACACTTATTAAGGATTGCCGTCTAGACTTATATAAACTTAATAATACTCTATATTATACCTATTGTAATGATTGTAATCTGTCAGTGTACCTATAATAAATAAATAAATAAATAAACAGGTAATAGATACAAAAAGGGGATGAAAGGGCAAATTGAATAGAATAATAAATATTTACGGGACACAAACAGAAATGTATTAGAATAAATAAGATGTATTAGAATAAGACAATATTAAACATAGAATAACAATGTAATAATAGGACAGTAAATATATATAGGACATAAAACAAAAATGTATTAGAATAAACAAATGTACTAGAATAAGTAATGTATTAGAGTAAATAAACAAGAAAAAATGTATTAATCTATAAGAATAAGAAAATAGAGTGAATGTAACATAGGTTAAGACAGTGTAACCACATGGAAATAAATAAAAAATGTGTATGCTTTATGTAATTAAAACCCAAATAAAATAAAGAAAATATATATAAAACAAAGAACAGTAGAATAAAATAGAGTAGTATCGGCACTCCCAGCCGAAGGAATGGATGAGGATGAATAAAAGAAAGATCAAGTATGCGGAATGAATGAAGGTAAAAACGATAGAACTGGAATGTAAGAGAAACCTAGAGAATAATAAGGGCCTGCTCAAAAGTGGGGACAAATAGGATGCTCGGCCATAGACTGTAAGGCCGGGCAATTTAAAAAAAAAAAAAAAACCTAGCGGCCCACTGCGACGGTGATTCTGATGGTTGCTGGGTAGCGGCGTAAAACCGATGTCGCTCACTGAAACCGACTTGTTTTGGCGTAAAGTGTGCTTCAAGGAGCGCGACGATGTCATCAAATGGTACATTGTGGATTTCTTTTGGCAGCGCGAGATCTGCTGTGAGCTTGTAGGTGTCTTCGCTGAGTGCGCTGAGAAGAACCGCTCGTCTTTTAATTCCTGCTGGATCCTTAATCTCATCGATGTCATTTGCGATAAACCATTGTAGTAATCGACCTTTGTAAGTTTTCCATGTGTTTATGTTGTGGTCAAAGTTCGATAAAACTCCAAAAATGGTAGACGCCATTTTGTTTCGGTAGCACGCGGTTTAATCGTTGCCACTGTTTTATATGCGGATCTAAGGTACGAGTGAAACACTAGACGGCTGTCAACGCACTGCTCTTTATTCACTATAATGACGCGGACGCAGCCGCGTAGGTATCTATATCTACTTATACATAACAGAAATAAACAAGAACCACAGAGCGTGCGAATTTCGAAGCGTTGGGTTGTAGATGGGGGGTGAGAAGCACCCCCCAGGCTTCAGGTATAAAGAATAAAACTAAAAATAAAGTTTAACAATCTTTATTTTTGTTCTCAGGGGGTAGGTAAAGATATTCGCTCGCTATGGCTCTTGTATCTGGTTTTATGAGGGGAGGACTTAGCTTTCTAGTTCATTTAGGGTATTATGTGGCGAGTACGTGGAGTAAGCGTCACAGGCCGGGCAGAGGCTGACAAGGGTGTAGACCCGTCGTCAGCTCCGCTCAGTAGCACTGAAAATCCACGAAGCTCAGGAGGACTGGAGTAAAAGAAGAACCCTGTTAACATAAATACAGCACTGAATAGAAGTTCAATAAGTGCGGCTACCAGTGGCCTGGAACAATTAAGATAGCTGCAGTTGCTATAGCTTCTATAAAAATCTACCGGCTAAAAAAATATAAAAACGTGTGTTGAAATGATATCAAAAATCATTTAGAATGAAGTTAAAATAAAAGATGCTATGGTAATAATCTGTAAGTTAAAAAATACAAATACTAATATATTAAATAACACGGGAATCGAACCCGTACTTCAAGTAAAATGAAAGCACTAAGTGTTCCATTTAAAATCATCTAAATTTCAAGGTTATCAAAATTATTTATAGCATAACCCGGGAATTGAAC